GATGGATGGATGGATGGATGGATGAAAAGATGATAAATGGATGGTTGAAAGGATGGATGGATGGATGGATTGATGGATGGATGGTTGAAAGAATGGATGGATGGATGGTTGAAAAGGTGGATGATAAATGGATGGTTGAAAGGATGGATGGTTGAAAGAATGGATGGATGGATGGTTGAAAAGATGGATGATAAATGGATGGTTGAAAGGATGGATGGATAACCTGAAAATCCTGAAAGACAGTAAAACACAACTAACAGTGATGTATTCATGATTTTCTTGGTTCAGTTTATTTTAACCATTTATTCTTTTTCATCTAGTTCTTTAGTTTTTCTTTCTTTATTTTTGTTTTCCTGACTTTTCATTTTGTAAATCCCCATGTTTCAGTTCATCCACCAGTGCTTTTCTTTTATCTTAAAAGCTTTATGCAGATTCATCCATTTCCCCAATACAAAACAATTCTAAGACACGTTTCAAAGATAATTGTGCCACCGTATAAAGTCCTGAACTGAGAACATCTAAACCCGTCCTGTTCTTGTCATCGTGTGTGTGTGCTGTAATCAGTAAAATGCAGAGGGTAGGGATGAAGCACGGCAGTGAAAAGAAATGAGCTTTTACTCCCGCTGCTGCTCCAGAAGCCTACAGGATCCTCGTGTTTGTCTGTGTCTGAGCTCAGCAGGTAGAGCTTAGTTTCTGGAAGACTAACAAAGCCATTTATAACCCTCTCTGTTTGTACGCTGCAACACAGCTGTAGGTAAATCAGAGTTTCTGAGCATCTGAATTTTGTTTTTGTTTTGTCTGGCTGGAGGGGGAGAAGAGATCACACAAACCCCTCATCTGAATGTCGTGTTTTAGGAGCGGGAGCGATGAGGATGTGTATGAGGAGATGTTTCTGGTCGAGACATGGAAAAGTACAAGAAGTACATTTCCTTCTGGTTTTTGTACCCTCTCTTCCATCTATTACACCCTCACCTGCTTTTATTGAGTGAAAGTAGGTATTTAAATTCCGTTACATCAATCGCTACCGAAGTTTTAAACAAAGATCTTGTATGGGTTGACTTTCAGCTATGACCACATCAAATTTTAGCCCAATATCTGTAAAACTGAGTTGACAGGCAAACAAGCCAAGTTCAACCGCTCTTCTAAAAGAGTGAAACACTCATCCAGCARTCATATCCTCTGAACCTGAGTGTCATCCACTCATGGACAGACAGTTAGCAATCAGCTAAAAATAGCCTGCCGCCAGTCAGATTCGGCGTCTCTTCTCTCGTACCGTGTAATAATTATACTTGGAGCTTTAGCCCCCGTGTTGCTTCGTGCCGGCACATTACCTCCAATCATCATCAACCAGGCTCTCAGCCGACAACAGACAGCTGCAGAAGAGACAATTTTCTGTTCCAGTTCTGGTATCGACAGACCGTTGACAGAAGGGTCCACGTGGTTTAAGGCAGTGGTGGTCCCTGGGCCTAAATCTGGCCTACAAGCTCCTCCCGTTCCATGAAGTCAAGGAATGATACATTTTTAACTTGTTGCCGCAGGTACTACAGCGCCACCATCCTGCAGATGTCGGGGGTGCGAGACGACAGGTTGGCAATCTGGCTGGCGGGACTCACCACCCTTACCAACTTCCTGTTTACCCTCCTAGGGGTGTGGCTTGTTGAGCGGGTGGGACGCAGGAAGCTCACTTTGGGCAGTATTCTAGGTAAGGGCATTCTGGCTCAAAGATTCTATGTTAAAGGAAACACTAACGTTTATTTCTGCATGTTTTTTTCCCCCCATCTAACAGGTACGTGTTTGAGTTTGAGTCTTTTGGCCATCGGTTTTCTCACGTCTGCACAGCACAGCCCTCCTGTAACGTTCCACCCGTTAGACCCTGACATCAACAACTCCACCTGCTCCAAGTACCAGTGAGTAAACACGCAAATAACATGTCTTTATCTTCAATATACTGTATATCATTAAGACAGCCTACAGGAAGTTGTTTTAACAATCTATCCATAAGACAGTCCACAGCACTGTTTTTATTTTGTATAGAATCAGTATCGGCTGATACTAAACCTCAGATATCTGTTTCGAAATCAGAAGTGAAATAACTCGATCGGTGGATTCCAGTATAAACATGCCTTTATAAACTTGTTTAAATCAACATAAATCCAAAGCACTGACAGACACAGCTTTATCTCCCCAGATTGTGTTTTATCTGATMCAAGTGGCTTTTATCCTTCACATCAAAAACACATCAATTCATCGTCTCAAATCAAGCTGTTGGCTCGAGTGTTTACATGATGGCAGGCAGAGATCAGATGTCTCTGTGCTCCATTTTACGCTCACCAACACGAGACGAAACTCCTGCGTAACGACAAACAACATCTAATGGTCTCCCTCACCAGCACACACACCGTGTAACACACACACACACGCAGCAGTAATTTGAAGAGATGAGTGCTTTCACCACTGGAATGGGTTTTTGTGTTCTCACAAACACACATTTAATGACCACAGCAGTATTGGAGTCACAGATTGTCTCTGTTGTGAAAGGTTTTCCTGATAAAGTTGCATCTTTAGATTAAATAACGCAATCTGACTAAAACAACACAAACAAGATTTTATTTTTATTTCACTGATTGATAACCAAAAACTGCAGGTTGTTCTGAAATAACAGCAATCAAACTGTGAGGCGCAGTAGAGGGAGCTTCATCATTTAAATCAGCTTTCCTAATTTAGAAATGTGGACTTTGTGTCAATGACTGAACAACTAAAACATTTACCAGAAATTTGTGAATTGCGCTACAAATACTTTATGATACATTTAACTTTCAGCAACCATTCTGCTACTTTTAGCTTCTAGCTATTGTTCTACCTCTTTTATCAGAGCATCATCAGTATTTCAAACATTCTCAGATGTCATCTTCTAATAAAACTGTAAAATAAATTAAAGAATAATTTCTTTAGTCAGTAAACATTTTTCAGGGGAAAAAAGTATTTAGATAAACCTCCCATTAGCTGGTAGAAAATCAGAATGTTTGACTTTGTTCATGACAGCTAACGTATGTTCTGTCTGCCGTTTGGCGTGCAGAATGTGCGAGCCGTGCATGCTGGACCCCCGCTGCGGTTTCTGCTACCGTGAGAACGGCTCGGCGCTCCTCGCCGCCTCCTGCGTCCCGGTCGATAAGGGCTCCACGGAGCATGCGGCGTGGGGCAGGTGAGTCACCAGACACACGCTGACTGCCGGTACTGCAGCTTTCAGGATGACTCATTCCAAATTTCAAGAGGGATTAACAAAACATGTCTTCTTTCAGATGCTCCAACTCCACCCTGATGAAGGATCAGACCCACTGGGCCTACAACTACTGCCCCACCTCATACTCTTGGCTGGTCCTGTTGGGTCTGGTGCTCTACCTGGCTGCTTTTGCTCCAGGTGAGACGCCCAAACTTAMGTATTTCTGCAGACTTTGAGCTATCTCATTCATTCGTACAACAAAGCTCAATAAGAAAAATGATGCTATGACTTTTAGATTTTGTGACTTTTAATACATTTTACCTCTATTTACAAATATTTTCCCCTTAAAAAATACATCAAGGTCTCTTTYCTTTAAAAATTCTCTTTTAAATCTGCTACCAATTTAGTTTTAATCCAGCCTTTTGCTACATTTAGCTTTAAAACTAGCCTGGTGCTACTTTTATGATTTAGCTACTATTCTGCAACTTTTAGCTTTTGACAATGCTTTTGCTAGTTTTAGTCTTTTAAMCAGTCTTTATTGTTTTCAGCCATTTTAATGCTTTTAGTTACTCTTTATACATTTAGCTTTTAGCCAGTCTTCTAGGTTGCCATTTGATAGTTTTAGCAAGTGTTTTGCTACTTTTAGCTAACCCTCAGCTCATATAGCTTTTAGCTAGCCTTTTGTTATTTGTAACCAGCCATTTTCTATTAGCTTTATCTAACCTTTTGCTGTTTTTAACTAGCGTTTAGCTACTTTTAGATTTTGACAAGTCCTTTACTRATTATCATTTTTGTGCTACTGTTCTATTTTTAGTTTTTATCTAGCTTTTCTCCATACTCCTTTCTTTTTACTTCTGTCAGGTATGGGTCCGATGCCGTGGACTATTAACTCAGAGATCTATCCGTTGTGGGCGAGGAGCACAGGGAATGCCTGCGCCGCCGGAGTCAACTGGACCTTCAACATCCTGGTGTCGCTCACCTTCCTCCACTTGGCTCAGTACCTCACGTACTACGGTCAGTTTGAAAGTCCTCGATCACGTCAGTAAAACACGCCGAGCAGAGCTTATATAAGGCGAACCAGAAAAGATGTAGCAGCTGACTGACACGTTCAGGTGTTGTTTTTTTTCCTGTAGCTCCTGTCAGCTCAGCTCAGCAGCAGGTTTCTCCTCAGACAGACAGGAACTGACCTTTGGTGCAGCTGGAAATCAATCGGTCGCAGGCGTTCCTGAGAAGCAGCAGGGTTAATTATTGATTCGACCCATTATTAACCAGTTCATCCGGCTKATGAAAAGTTACCCAAGATGAACAAAAATAATTGCGTCCAAGAGGTGGTATTTAACGTAAAAATGTCACTCAGTTTCTACGAGGGGGAAAATGAAGATGGCAGGAAATCTCATTAAACMGTTGTGGCTTTCTGAGTGAAATCTTATTATTAGATGCGTGTTCTGTGGTTCTTTGTGTCCCATTAACCCTGCTGTACTTTTTTTTGATGGGAACATGTTGCACCCTTCATCATATTGTCTCCGGCAGCCTGAAAGCACTTGTTCAACGTGATAAAAAATTTTTTTAGCTGTCTGTATAAGTGTGTGGGCAGATAACATCCGGCACCAGCTGCCTCTTGGATCTGCTGCCACTTCTTTCTTTTTTTTTTTTTTTTGAGCAAGAACAAAGAAATTTAGAAGAAACAACTCGAGTCTAAATGATCTTTACAAGTCTTTATTGTGTTTCTTTGTTCCTTTTCTCAGGAGCTTTCTTCCTGTACTCCAGCATGGCCCTGCTGGGTTTCATCTTCGTTTACGGCTGCCTGCCGGAAACCAAGTCCCGACGCCTGGAGGAAATCGAGGCGCTGTTCGAAAACCAGCTTTGCTCCTGCGGCGCATCCGACTCGGACGAGGGACGCCAGGTGGAGTACATTCGCGTCAAAGGTTCCAATTACCACTTATCGGACAACGACGCGTCGGACGTGGACTAGCCTGCGCGCCCTCGACCTCGCTCTGGATGTTTCGTCACCCTCTGTAACCACCGAAACACGCAGAGTGATCGGGTCTGTAATGTTCGTCTCATTTTGTGATCTGTGGAGCCGCTGGTTTCCCTACCGGCAAACAGATCGTGAACGGACAAAAGGGAGACTGTTTACCAAGTCGGGACCCAGTTTCTGAAAGGGGGTGAACCAGGTTTGTGCATCCACGTGACTTAAACTGACCTGACAGCAGTTGTTGTGACTTGTTTCTCTATAGTGCCGTTACGCCTTTCAGTATGAGACACGTCTCGGTTAAATGTTGTTTCGGCTTGTAGCGTAGCACTCTGATGTTAGTCCCGTATTAACAGCAACCGTCTTCAGTTTGTGATTGGTCTGGACCGTTTTTAAAGACAAGCAATCACCAGAAACACACTTATTGTTGCACCTAACAGCTGCCTGACACAACCACTTGAGTAGCACTGAAAAGACAGTTGGTTTTTATTTATTGTTTTCTGTTTGAAACCATGTGCCTTGGAACAGCATTCATACCCCTTGAATTTCGCAGAGTCTCGACGTTACGACCCCAAACTTCAGAGTAATTTACTGGGATTTTATGTAACAGTCGTTGTAGATTGTTGGTGCCCAATCCTGGTCTTTGGAGGTTGTTTTATTYGGTTCCCTGCTCCTCAGCAGGTCTTTGAGTTCTGCAGAAGCCTGTTAATTGCCTGGCAGAGCAGAGAAAAATCTAAGACATGCCGGATAGTGGCACTTGAGGACCAGGATTGGGCACCAGTGTTGTAGACCAGCGATTCCCAACCAGGGGTATGTGTACCCCTTGGGGTTCGCAAGCATACTACAGTGGGTACGTGGAAACATTTCCCAGGTGTGTAAAAAAATAAATAAAAATAGGACTGAGATATGTAGGGCCCTATGATTTCCGCAGTGCGAAAAATGCAAACGGAATCATGAAATTGACAAAATGTAATCCTGTATAAAATGCAGTTCTCACAGCATTTACTCACTTGGGGTATTTGATGTATTTTGGACGCTGCTGTTTTCTGCACCTGCCATTACCTGGTTTATTTATTTAATTACTTATTCACTTTCAAGGCAACATATTTATCTTTATGTTTAATTTGAGCTAAAAAGAATAAAATGTCTGAGAATTCAATGTTCTATGGGGTTAAATAAGTAATTTCTATTTAATAATCAGATGTTATACACTATAGTTTTGGAGAATCATCATTACGTTTGACTGAGGGGTACTAGTGATATGACAAAATAGCTCAGGGGATACACAAGTCTTAAAAAGGTTGGGAACCACTGTTGTAGRCCATTTGATCATAGCTCTAGGTGGACGATTTGGGTCGTTCCCGTGCTGGAACGTGAACCTTCACCCTGGTATTGAACAGGTTATTGCCCTCTATTTAGCTCCATCCTCTTCAGACTCTTTCCATTTTGGGCCAATAGATGGAACACAGGTCGTTCTTTTTACATCATAAATTGGCTTTAAACTTCTCTGTTTTATCTGTTTTTACCTAGGCGGTGTGTTCCTTGTTGGTCTACATGATGCTGTTTGATCAGTAATGTTGGATAAACCTCAAAGGCTTACTGCTATGTTCATACCAAGATTAAACTACGCACACATCTGATTGTTGGGCTGGATTTTAGATTTTAGTTGGAGGTATAAAGGAGCTAAATACAAATATACGCCACAATTTTTACATTTTTTGTAAAATATTTTGAAAACTTTACTATTTTTACTTCCGCTTCTAAATTAGTAGCTTGGTAAAATGATGACGTTTGTGGTTTTAACCTGGAAAAGTGAAAAAAAAATTCAAGGCGTATAAACACTTATTCAAGGCATTGCTGTTTTAGTTTTTAATTTTTCTTTCTGTTGCATAAAACAYCTTTTGGTTTTTGTTTTATGTTTTTAGCAGAATACTGAAATTCACACCAAAAAAAAAAAGTCAACACCACAAATGCACCGATGCTGTAACCGGCATCATTCTGGACACCTGCTACATGTATCATCAAAAGATTACAAATCTGTTCAGATAAAACCAGTGAAGCTTTAATTCTCTGATTGTTGTATTAAAATTTAACATTATATTAGTGCCTGTTTAATGTGAAGGTGCCTCAGTCACATTCCCTGCATGATGGAGTTTTTATTTTACGTGCATATTGTTTAGATTTGTCTTCCGCCACAGCCTTATGTCCAAATTATGATTTAAAAAACATTCTTGTGTCAAAAGTTGCACGGTTTTCTGTAATGTTGTTTTGTAAAAATATATATATATATAAAAAATGAGTGGTTACAGCTCAGTATGGAGGTTTTTGTGTAGCAAAAAATGTGAAAATGCTGCAAGTCAGTGGGAAGAATTGTCCTTTTTTCAAATAAAATGTTCAAATAAGAGAAAATGTCAGGGCACGTCCTGATTCAGTGGCGTAATATCGAGTATTGAGAGGATGTTTTGGTATTTTATAGGTGACACCTGCATGCCTGTGGATGTTGGTGTAAAAGAATAAAGAGCCATGTTTCAACTGGATATTTTAAAAATATGTAAACTGTAGGAATATAGCACCCTCTTGTGGAAAGTTCACAACRTCCACGAGGCCAGATTAAAAAATATCTTGCAGGACATTTTTCAAAGCAAACTTTTGTCTTTCGGAGGCTTGCAGGACTCTAAGACCAGGAGTCAAACAGAAACTCACTCACCTGTAGCCACTTTAACATTCTTTTAATCCTCAAAGAAYGTGTCAAAACTTTGACGGAATCCGCGGATCGTATCCACGGAGCTCAGCTGCTATAAATACTTTTAAAATCAGTCCACCACCAACAAAATCCTTCATGTTCAACAGTAAATGAGTAACATGCACTGAACAAGAGTATAAATGATTTTATGGACCTAACACCTGTTCAGAAGAAGTTTCTCAAATCTCATAAAACTACATTTTATTCACAACGTATCATCGTAAAAAGTAAATCTGTGGGTAGTTTTCTGCATTAATAGACCATTTCCTGATGTATAAGCTGCCAAGAGGCATTAATGCACCCCTATACCATCAGAGAGGCAAGCTTCAGAACTGTGTTGGACTGTTTTTTATTCAAACCATTTACTTTTACAGCTTTTTTTTTGCCCCTGGACCAACTTTTTTTTTTTACATTTTGATGGCATAAAATTTAAAATTAGCTTATTTAAACAAAAACAACTTTTTTATTGTTTTCTGTGTTTCGTGGTGAATAAAATATGGGTTTATGAGATTTGCAAATCACTGCATTTTGTTCATATTTAACTTCTTTTGAAAAGTGGGGTTGTAAATATTTTAAATTACGAGCAGATGTGTCACGTCCCAGTGGAAAAACAGCTGACAGACGAACTTTAACTTTCTTTGGACAGAAAGTCATGAAAATTAATTTCTTTCTGTTGATTCACAGAAACACGTTCCGGACACAGATTGTGTCGACCAAATATTTAATGTGTACCTCTGACACGGGTACTGTGATGTTTAGCCTTCTACTCCAGAGGGTGTGTAACGTGTACTTTTGGTGAAATTGTTGTTTTTTGTTCTATGTGAACCAGTTACATGTTTCTTAAGTTTACAAGGAATTAAAAAAACAAAATGTATATTTAATTACTGTTCAAGCTGTAAATGTTTTGCTAGAGTTTATATTATATAAAGATGAATATATTCAAGAAATCTGATGTATATGGAGGAAAAAAATAAAGTTAATCTGAATGACGCTTTAAGATTTTTGTTTGCTTCGTCCGGCTGAATAAATGTGATTCACTTCCTGTARGTTTGTCTGTCTACCTTCTCCTTCTTCTGCTTCAGCAGGAGCAAAATGTCGGCTACTTCCTGAAGCGACTCGGCCTCCTCAGAGAGCGGGCGACCTCTGACCTCCTCTCTTCCTGCGTCCGACGCTGGTTTGATCCGAGAGCTGCCCTCGGCTTTGCCTGTGAGAAACACGAGTTTTTGCCAAAGAAGCTGAATTTTGTGTGAAATCTGTTTATTTCTGTACCTCTTGGGCTGAAAGCATCTTGTAGCGGGTTCCAGAGGGACCATTTTTCTTCCCTTGTTGAGGTTCGTGGTTCTGGTTCGGTCTCAGATGCTGGATGCTGTCCTGGCCCGGCGGCGGCGGCGCACTGAGTGGAAGCGTCGCACGTCTCCGGTGTGCAGCTGGGCGTCGTTTGGGTTCCCACCTCTCGGGTTTCAGCCAGAGTTTTCTCGCATTTGCACAGAGTTCGACCCCAAGGAGATGAAGACAGAGCTGAGGTTTGGTCCACGATGATTTGCTCATCTCCCGGGTTTATTCTGGATCCTAATGGCGGGGTGTCGGAGAGTTTTGCACTCTTCTGTGTGGTTTTTGTGTTGTCCTCGCTCCTCTCTTCAGTCGTGTACAAAGCAGAAGCCGGGAGGCACAGTTCACAGCACGACTCATCCTGATAAAAACCAGAGCGGAGACAAAAGAAGTGACGCTGTTCAGTCCTGAAGTGTCAATAAAGCACTAAAGTTTTGAATCGGTTTAATGGTATTCTGTTGAATCAACACTGAAAGTTGCAGAACGTTAATTTAATCATCAATTTACTGTTAAAATCTTTGTGTTTCGTCTGCATTCCCGGGTCCAACTCTTACAAACGGTCTCACTCTAATTTAGTTGTGGTTTCAAGAATTTTGTACAAAATTAAAGAAGCATCATCACCTCAGTAACAGGGTTAGTTAACAAAAACTAATGTAATAATGAAAAGTGAAATTGGGAAAACAATTTAGCTAACTAAAATAAATAACTGTAATGAAACGTAACTGTAAAACTGTATAACCTTTTTACAAAACTAACTGAAATTATAGATAGAATATCCTTCGATTTAGTGTTTGTCAGTGTCATTTAAGCCGTGTGGGCTGATTTATCAAATCTTTTATTTTTTCTTCTTCAAATCAAGCAGTTTTCACATTAGCTGTGGGCAACTCGTGGTCCATGACGTCATCTGCTGCTCGGCACTCGTCTGCTAAATATCAACAAAAGAAAGAAAGCAGCAAAGTCCGATTCAGGATTTCTTTGATTATGACTGCGAGAAAAATAATAGCAAGTGTCTTGTAGTGGAAACAGGTGATAAAACAGGTGGAATACTTCTCAAGCGGAAAAAACACGAATCAAGCTTGAACTTGTGAGTATCTTAACAAGCTAGCTTCTCAGAAAAACAAGCAACTGGCCAGGCAGCACCACGATGGAGACAACTATCTTCACTTTCCTAATTGAGTTACGTGACCATTTTAGGAAAGTGTCACCATAATGGACCGCTTTCAACAGCAACCAAATAGTTAGTTGACTCACAGGAAAACTACGAGCAGGAGGGTACACTGGCAAATATGTTTATTCAAACTATTAAAAAAGCTAATATTAGAAATACTGAAAACTAAACTAAAACTCAGCATTAAAAATCCAATAATAACTAATGAAAACCAGCAAATTCACTGTAAAGACTAATTAAAACTAACTAAATTGAAAGAAAAAAAGTCACAACGAAATAAAACTAAAACTATAATGAAAAATCCAAAACTATAATAACCTTGTTCTGTAAATGTTTTCTAAAAAATAAAAGTTGTGAAGTTTAGGCGTTATCCACAAGTTAAATATAAATTAAATGAATAAATCCTGCAACTAAATTTGGCCAAAACATGCTAATTTACTTTCAAAGTACGACTTTTCCAAGACTAGGGGAAAATTTTACCTTCTAGTGAAAAAGATATTAAGATTTTTCATCTAAAAGTTGAATTTTAGTTTCACTTTGAGTTGAATCAGCAGTTTCTTCGACGTGTGAACATCCTGCTGCCACTTCAGGAAACTGACCAAAGCTTTCAAATGTAAATGAACTTACATCACTGGAGTCTGAACTGAGGTAACTCGCACTGCAAGAGCAACTTGGCAAATATTCACCGCCTTTCAAAAGCCCAGTGTTCTGGTCGGGACATGCTGTGAGTTTTAAAGAAAAAAAAAAGACGTCAGTTTGGTTCGGTTCCTCGACCCGCGGAGCGATAAAACTGCAGCGTTCGCTTCGGACACTTACAGGAGTTCATGTCGGAGAGCTGAAACAGAAACAGAAACGCATCTTTAAATCTGTGCAAACTCAGAAAACTAATAAATGTTCTGCACAACGGCTCATAAATCCTGGAGACGCTGGAGGAATTGTTCCAGCTGCAGTTTTAAAGTCCAACACTTGGTGGAGACAAAAGACTGAAACTGAAGACGAGCTCACCTCTGCTCCTGAGTTCTGAGCTGTGGGAACAGTTCTGTCAGGGAAACAAAAAGAAAACAATTATTATAAACTCAGAGCGTTTTACATATTAAAACTGAAATAAAAAAACTCTCACCGTGGTGCTGAATATCTCACAGACGCCTCATCTGACAGATAGATTTTAGATTTTGGGTTCCTGTCGTTAAAACCTGAAAATAAAGGGATCCACGATTAGTTGTAACATTAGACTTTAAGCATTTATTTTAACTGTTAAAGACTAAAAATACTGTACTGTAGGCTGTTTAGTGTTTATAATTTCTTAACTAAATTTTTAAAATATATTACACGGACGGAGTCATTTTATTTCCACACAAAGCATTCTGGGTAAGTGATGAAGTCGATAGGTCCTCAGTGTGAGCGAGCTATATCCACCCTTAATCTTGGACAATATCTGATGATCGACTCTTTTAAATGAAACCAGAGAGCGTTGACAGAGAGGGGAACACAAAAATGACTCAGCCTGGAACTGAAAATATGGATGGAGGACAACAGTTTAGCTTGTTTGTCGCACTAGCGCTGAGCTAATACATATAGCGTCAGCGCT